GACTAAATACAACACAGTACAATAATGAAATAAAATGGTAATATTTATTTGAAAAATAGTCAAATGATTCTGATATAGATCAATTAACATTTAAAGAAAACAAAACCCGAATGAACAACAAAATTACATTCTTCGTTTCATGAACTAAACTGTTCAGAAGGGGTTTTGTGGAGATTTCAGTATTTTCATAATTGAAATCTGACTTCAAGAGATATTTAATGGAGTTCTAGTGAGAAATAGTGATCAGTGGAGTTCAACCACGTCTGTTGTGAGATATCAACTCACGGAAGACAATTGGTGAACTGTTGCTCAACTTCATGGATTGGTTGAAGTTAGACATTAACTCTGTTGGATGCCGGCTGGCTCAGTGATTTCGAGATTGATATGACCTGAGTTGGAATCTTGTGAGGAGGGGTCGTGGATGCGCACTACCGAGGAGTCGCACAATAGGTCGAAATGAACGTCTTGTGTTTCCAGACATTCCATGGTTGTCTAGCTTCAATTGACTCATGATTTTATCTATGAAGAAACTAAACTGTTCTTAGAGTGAAACTTTAATTTATGCATTAATATAGAAATTAGATAAAGTTTATGGCTAAGATGTGTACTCATTCTATATAAGAATTATTAGCTGGATGTATACATCCACCATTCCACTGTTCATGTCCATAGTTAGACTACAATTCAATATGTATCAGTCTGAATGTTAATATGTTATACACTAGAATACTTGAACCCGACTATCTATTAACTTGTTCAGCGAGTCTAAACATATAAGTAGGTATTTGTAATTTATAGTTACTGATTAAGATATTTGGTAGAACAATACATTTAACTATGAACTAAACATTTCATCCGTGAACTAAGGAAACTATCTATCTTCCAAGCAGACTGACAGAGAAAAAGAATTACTAACAAATGAAACTTTACAATCACTTCATATTATTAAATGTATGAAAATATGGTACAAATAACAATGTATTTAACTAAACTATACTGTGTAGTTGAAATCATAAGTCAATTGAAGCTAGATCACCATGGAAAACCTGGAAGCACTGGACAGCCGTTTCATTGGGTTTTATATCTTATAATAAGAACATTGAGTTTTATGTTGACAAAATGAAACACTAAACTAATCACTAAAATTAACAATAAATTTAATTGAAGGAGATTTACTTTCATTCCTTGTCTATTTCTCAAGAACTTTAATCTAAAGTAAGATTATGAAGTTAATTGTTCTCTTTTGAATGTATTTTTTATTTGTTGTACGAACAATAAATTATTTTGATAGTTCAGATCATGAATCAATTGAAGCGAAACTGATAGGTCCTGGGTTCGAATCTCGTGAAGCGGGATCGTGAGTGCGCACTGCCGAGGAGTCCCACAATAGGACGAAACGGTCGTCAAACAGTGTTTACAGGTTTTCCATGGTGGTCTAGCTTCAATTGATTCATGATCTCAACTATCAAAATTACTATAATATTCAGAAAAACCGCTTCTGATAATAAATTATTTGTCAACGTTAGTGATTTCAAGTTTGGAATTGTTGAAAATCTTTGAGGACTGAACAAGAGTTTCAATGTAATTTGAGACCCCTTTAGAAGTATATACGAGCAATTTTGTAAACATTAGATTCTAGATGCTTCAGCTCACATAGGATAAATAACAATTTTAGACTATTGAGCTAATATATTTGATGTAATAATTTTAATAAATAATGACTATCACCTCATTAACCAGAAGTTTTTAAATGAATTTTCTGATGTTGAATGATATTCCAAGCTCAGAGAACCAAAGGTCCTCAGAGTTGACCTTCAGTTGAATCGTGAGTACCGAATCAAAACTATTCTCTACTTTTTTCAGTCATTCACTAATTAGTTTTCGATCATGGTTAAAGTTTATTATTACTTAATGATACAGAATTTCCACACAAGTCACTGAGTAATTTTCATTATACTCTGTAAAATCGGAATGTTAAGTACTCCATTTCGTGTTATTAATTTCGGAACCACTTGAAAAGCAAATCTATATATCATATCAAATATACATTTTATCTGTCGGAGAAAGCTAACTGAGATAGTCATCACAAAGTGCACAAAAGCTGGTGAATACTGTTCAGAGTTCATTTCTAAATATTCGCAACGATGGAACTAAAACCCATAGTGGTAATAACACTAACACTCTACAGGTTGAATGATTTAATTGTCATCCGGACTCACTAGCTTATTGGGTAAAGAGTTTGGACTTTGAAATGAAAGGTACTGCATTTGAGTCCTAATGATGAATACCAGATTTACGATTTAGATACAATTAGCAGAGTCCCACATAAGAATAAACATAGATTCTGGATTCTACGGCTAACTACAATCTATCAATTCCATTAAAGTGTCTTATTATCGTTCGATTGGCTGATATATGGAAATTATCAATATAGGGATGTGAAGATTGTTGAGTTTACATTGATATCGTAAACTGATGAATGCTAGACCACCATTGAAAACCTGGAAGTACTGGATGACCGTTTAGTCTTTGTATGGGACCCCTCAGCAGTGCGTCCACGACCCCGCACACGGGACTCGAACCCATAACCTTGAGTCTCGTGCGCGAATATTTAACCTCTAGACCACTGAGCCAGTGTTTCCAGGTTTTCTGTGATCCTCTAACATTGATCCATTCATGATATGGAATTCAGAATAATTAGAGAATTATTTAGTGAATCGCAAATATTTCCAAATATATTCTAACATTCATAAACATAAAATATTATGTATCAGTGATTTAAGGTTAAAAATTCTTTAAAAGTGATCAACCGTAAACTCATTTCCAGTGAATGAGTAAATCGTTTTACATCGTTTTATATAGATACCTTGATATAAATTAAAAATAGAACCTGAAGCAGAGAATAGGATTTATTTGGCTACTTTAAGTGATCTGAATTTCCAAGTGAATAAATAGACAAGATTAAATATATACATAATTTTTGATGCATTACATTTCAATCATAACAAAATGTTTAGCGAATGATGAATACTCGGAAAAAAGTAGAATACCATGCTTGAAATATATTTATTTGTTAGATAGTGGAAGCTGGTCGATAGGAAATTATTGACTTAGAGTTCTTTCAATTCGGCACTCACCAGTAAGCTATGCCTATAATCCAGAGATTCATGTCCCATGTAGGGTTCCAATCCGAGTTATCTATTTTCACAGTCGAAGTGGTTACTACAAAGTTATTTGTAGTTCTGTAAAACTGAGTTATTTACACAGTAATTAATGGAATGTACGATTTAAGTTCCATTAAATCTAGGTTTTTTTTAACTGAATATATTTGTATGCCAATATGATTGTCCCTATCTAATATGAACTCAGTAATCACCGTTTAAAGTGTCAGCGGGATTCAATCAATCCTGACAACGTTCAAGATTTGTAAGTGACGAATGCCGGGTTACAATGTCAGTTACAGTATTAATACTTGCGATTCAAATATATTCAACTAAAAAGTTTTAAATAATGTGAAACACTTGCTATGGATTTCAAATTGTAAGCCCAGATAGAAGGGAAGCATCAGTTCAAAAAATCTAAATACCAACAAACTCTTACGATGAATAATGAAGCTTTCAAACAATATAAATTCATGGACAAAAATCAGTTTCAACTTTAAATTTATCTTAGTCAAGAAATTTATTTCACAAATCAGGGCATTCTGAACAACATTGAATATAACAATGAGAATAATCCTTTTTGTAATTGACAATTTCATAATTTTCTATGGAGTAGACAGTTCTAGCAGTTACTGACAGGTAAATACGTAGTAATATGATTTTAGGAACCATGCACTATTTTTACTGTTATACCCTGTAAGTGAAGTCACTGCTTCAAAATCAATAACCTGGTCATCATTATGTCTCAGCCTTTAACCTCTTCTGCTTTAGAATGTCGTTAAAACAGGCAGCATGTTGTAATACTATTATTTTGTAGATATGATATATGACACTTGTCACAAGATATATATAACCAGAAAATTTTGAAATTTCTTTTTTTCTTTTATAATTTAGATGTCAATTTTAAATTTTTATCCCATTTGCCAGATATATGTTAATGTACGTGGTTTTGGACCATACTAGGTGAAAGTTAATATTATTCGATTAACCAAATCAAAATAAATGAAGTAAGACACAAACTTATGACGTATTAACTATTTGCTAAACATTACTATTCAAAATTATAAATATACTATTTACGACAGTAACTCTATGTTGGTATTCAAAAGAATTAGTCACTATTTAGGCCCATTGCAATCTGAACGCCACAGACTGACTGTATAATGTAGGCCGCAAATGCCCTGATATGACTGACAGTGGGGAGAGTCCGCTCTCGATCTCCATATCCTCTCACATGGCTACGCGTATATAACCTCTTCCAGGGAACTCCTACTCACTGCCTTCTAACGCCATTACTGCTGTTTACTAAATTGAGAGGACGAAAAGGGAATGTCCAGCGCTTCAACCGGGCCATTGGACACAGAAAGTCCAACTGGGGGAGTTGGAAAACCCTGATTACAAATCAATGGAGCACATGGCCTAGCTCCATTATCCTGAGGGAACAAATGGCGTATGAATCAATCGTTGATCACTGGCTACCATGGGAATGCATCTCCTCACGATGCTCCACTGCCTTGTGGATCAGACCTTTAGGCCACATGCTCCGGTTGTGGCCCCCTAAGAAAACCATCTACTTCGATTTGAGCACCCGGGCAGTATCACATTCCTCACACAAATCAAATGAGAGGTACCAAGATCCCTGAAAGACTACTACAATTAAATTTAAAATATATTATTTATTAACGCTGAAGAAATGGCTTATATTAAGTCACAAAACATTAGAACTACGATTTTTCTACTCATAAGAATATAACAAAATAGAATATACAATTGTTACATTATTAAAAGTTTTATAATATTCAAATATAATAACACTGATTATTCCAATTCATAACCTACCTTTCTTGTTATCCAATATATCTATATCTATCTATATATTCGTACTATATTGATGGATCAGTAGAACACCAGTATTGATATGTTATTATACTTTTGTACAATTCAATGAATGTACTTTGTTAACAAGTAAACTGTAATAATTTTGATTCAATAATCAAAATTAAAGTTTCTATTTATTTAATTTTTTTTTTCTGTTTTTTTTTGTTTCTTTGTTGCTATTTTGGAAACAAAATAATAATTTTCAATAATAATTACATGAAATTGAACCGATTTATTTTTTTATTTTTTTTTATTTTTTTTAATTATTCCCTGTTAATTGGTTTAAATAGGTTAATATAATTGAATTTTAATGATTCAATATTTACTCGTAGAAATTCTTCGGTACCCGTCTTTTTTTAATGGAATATTATAATGTGTATCTGAGGGATGATCTAGTTAATTATTTCTTGTATAATAGAGTAATGAATAAATGAAAATAATTATTATCAGAAGGGAGTGAAGATACTACTTATTATTATTGAAGATAATAATCTGAATTATTGATAATGATGATTAATATCTGGGTTGAAATTCAACTCGACGATGTTTGATTATTCTAACCGAATTCAAGTTTGAATATCTTGGAATATTTAACGAAATGAAATCATGGTAACAATGATAGTAATAATAATGATAATAACAATAATAATAAAAGTATGGTGGGACAAACATGAATAAAAACGACCGCACATATATATATATATATATATATATATATATATTGAATACATGCAATATTCGATTAAACCCCATGTATTGAAGGATGCATGTATGTATTATAAAATTAACCAATCAAATACGAATATCCTGAATAGTTGTATGTACACATGTGCATGAGTGTGTTCGTATGTATAATAATATTGGTTAAATCCTTTAAAACATTGAAAACGATTGCCTACAAATGAGGATATTCGGTTGTTTGTTTGTTTTTTTTCTGGGATTTTTTTTGTTTCTTCAATGATTGCATTTTCCATCGACATCGTCATCGTCGTCATCACCATCATCACATCATCATCATCTTCATTCACCCCTTTTTTTGAATGTTTTAGAAGAGAAAAAAAAAGAATAGGCGATTCGATTTATGATCTATAAATGATTATAGTAAACATGTCGGTATATAACCTTTTTTTCTATACATAGATTATAGTAAGAGATATATATATATATATATATATATAGTGTACATAGAAAATAATTATATAAAGAAACTGTTAAAAATGTGTATATGCACAATTCACCTACCATTCATTGTTATTAAATAACTTATTTTTCAGTGATAATAACAGTTTAGAATAAATTAATGATTGTTATGAGACATGGATTCAATCCTATCTAAGAATGTGAATGAAAACTACAGATGAATTGTGAATCTAGATAAAACAAATGTTTGGTGGATCTTGATTTTCGATAGTTTGAAATTGTTTTTAAAAGTGAACTAAACTCTATGAAGCCCTATAAATACCAGGCCCCAAATTGCCCTGGTACGGTCGAGAGTGGGGAGAGTCCGCTCCCGCTCTCCAAATGCTCTCATATGGCCACGCGTATATTTAACCTCTGACAGGGAAGTCCTACTCACTGCATTCTCGCAACAGTGGTGTTGTTTATGTAATTGAGAGGATGAAAAGCGAATGTCCGGTGCTTTAATTGGGTTGGTGGACACGGAAAGTTCAACTAGGGGAGTTAGAAAACCCTGATTCCAAACCAATGGTGCACATGGGCTGGCTCCAGTATCCTGAGGGAACAAATGGCGTATGAATCAATCGTTGGTCACCGGCTACCATGGGACTGCATCTCCTCACTATGCTCCACTGCTTTATGGATCAGACCTTTATGTCAAAGGCTCCGGGTATGGCTTACTAAGAAAAACATCTGTTTCAGTTTGGGTACCTGGACAGTATCACAGCCCTCACACAAATCAAATGAGATTTGTATGGCGTATATATATCTGGTGTCCCCTTTGTTCCAATATTTATGTGTTTAAATAAATAAATTTCAATGATAATCATTTATTAATTAGTGAATAATTCTAAGATTGATCTCGAAAATTATGTTAGAAGTGAGATTGTAAGTTGTTGAAGGTGATGAATGATGATAAAGTTATTTTGCGAAATGATTGAAAATGAAAGTATCCAATATCAGATTCCAACTAAGTGGTTTAAATTTTTATTGTATATATTATTTCCTTATATAGTTTTTATTTTATGGAGGGAAATGTAAATGAGCTATTGAATAACTTACATATATTTTTCAATCATCTCATAACTGATATCAATCTGTGATGAATAGAACTTGCAAACTGGACCAATTCACAAAAAAACTTTTCTAAAAGAATTATAATAACGAGATTGTGAACCGACTTAAGCTAGGTATTCGTTGAAAACTTAGGAGTACTGGACATCTATTTCCTTCTAGTGTAGGACTCTTCAATATATAGCAACCATGATGATTTTGAAGAGGTTATTCACCCAAAAACAATTGGGGCCGGTTACATAGTACCATGATTCAGTTAAATTTGGAAACACGCATCACTGTCTAAAAGTGAGGCGCTTAACACAAGGCCAGAAGATCCTGGGTTCAACTATATGTGAAGAGGTCGTTGACGCTCATTGATGGAGAGTCTCTCAATAGGACGAAACAGGTTGGTTCGTGATCTCACTAACATTCAACAGTGTACACAAAACCTGATACAGATAAATAATATCAGACAGCTCACTTGTAACTTTATGATATTCCTGAAGTCTGAGTTAGTGAAATAACTGTTACCAGTAAAGTTGGCTGATATTCATTATGTATTCAAATTGAGTGAGAATGAAGTATCAGTGAATCTGTTATTCACGCGTTCACCACGAGATTTGAGAGTTCTATATTCGGTCTTTTGTTAGGTTATGAATGAGGTTTGATATAATTTCCAACTTTCTGTCATACATTCATATGCTAGTCAAACCAAATATCTTGTATATAAAATCCAACATCTTATTTGATTGTCTTAAAGTCAAGGTTGAAAGATAACTATGGTTAGGGTCAAATGATTATAGAATATAGTAAATATATACTGAATAAAAGTTTTTATAATCATAGTTTACGTCACTAACAGAACTTGGTTAGATAATTATTCAAGAGCAGAACATAAAAGGCAGGAGTTTTGTCCTAGTATGGAACTCTTCGGTTGTACACACACACGATCTCACCAAGGTCCTTACCCAGTTAAATGCGTAATCAGTTACTTCTATTATTATCAACACTTATCACCCAATTTCTCTTACGTTCTGAGGTTTTATTTTCCATACTCTTCTATCAATTACAGATTTATGTAACTTGATTTCAAGGGACACATTGTGATATGAAGGTCAATCAAATTATCCAGTTGAAGTGGGCTTGAGTTCAGCAACTTAATGGTTGAAAATAGAGTACTAGAAAATCACTACATTGAAACAATAAGGTTGGTGGAATATATATATATACCTTCGAAGTTTAGGGTCTTTATATTATTTTAGTCTAAATTGTAATGACCTTTCAGTAAAAAATGGATTGCCTTATTTTAGAAAACAATATTTAGTGTAAACAGAGTGTTCACTGAATATTTGAAACAATCCAATTTGTTTAAATAATTTGTCTTATATAAATAGTAATCATAGTAGTATCAATGATAACAATAATAATAATAAAATATAAGTACAAACCCAGTAGGTCACAAAGTGATCTACGTTCAATAGGTCTGTTTACAACGTTGAATTGGCAATGTACTATTACGTAAACGAAACCTTAATATTAGTATTTTATTTATGTTACAAATCAACTAACAATAACTATTCATATCCTTTCACCTTTCTAGTAGTCAATGTATCTTATGATACAATGACTAAATGAGAAGTAATCATTATATGATAAGTCTAATATTTATCATTATGGGATTGTGGAACCTATCGAGTTTTAACTTAGATCATGAACCGATCAATGTGAGACCACAGTTATATATTCACTAGCGACTAGATTAGAGAGATAATTCTCAGAGTTCTAGTGAGAAGCCATTGTCAGTGGAGTTCAGTTGTGTCTAATGTAAGGAAGTTACCCAACGGAGACAATGGAAGATGGTTGAACAATATCGTGGATTAATAGAAGTTAGATGTACATACTATTGGATCCTGGCTATGGTGTAGAGGTTAAGCATCCGCGCGAATCTGAAGTTCCTGGGTTCATATCCTGCATTCATGATCATGGATACTCACTGCTGAGTTGCCTCGTACTAGAATGAATCGGACGTCTAATGCTTTCAAGTTTTCAACGGTGGTCTAGCGTTGATCGGTTCATCACTTCAATTTATATTTATACGTTTGAAATATCAAATTTATAATCTATTTAACAGGCTTTTGGGGGAAATAATTTTAATTTGTAGATTGTATTTGTTCCCCCCCTTTCAATAAAATGTAATATTCAGATCACCAGTAATTCACTATAGTTTATTCCTTAATTTCCGGTAAGACTCATGATGGTGGAGTTTAGAATATCTCAAACGAAATAGTTGTTACTGATGAAAAGATTTGGTTGACTTTAAAATAGTACACTTGTTTTCCGAATGAGTGGTTATAATGGTTTACGCTCTCCGAGAATCTTAAATGTCCTATGTTTGACTTTTTGGCGACGTCATGTATATACACTGCCGAGAGTCCTGTACTAGGATAAAGCAATAGTTTAGTGTTTCCTAGTTTACAACAGTACTCCGACTGTGATCTCATGATCAGTACAAACTAAATATACATAAAATTATTCAAATATTTACACAATGTAATAATAAGAATGAAATAAACTCAGTGTCAGCGTGTCAGTGGAATCATGTAAAAATTGGAATTATTTCAGTACAGATATTCTTAGCTTAAAAGAAATATGTTGTTCACACTGCTTTTCATCTCTATATACATGATCATAAGTACTTGTATACTAAATATATTTAATATGTGACCGGTAATGGAACCCAGGAAATGTGTTACAATTTATTTGAAACTTGTCTGATGAATAAATCCGTGCACCAGTGTTGATATTCACACAGAGATTCAAATTCAATACTTTATGCTGTAGAAGCCTAAGCGTTATCCATTGAACTACTGAGTCCAGATAAAGACAATTCAATTAGAATTCACATATGGCAACTCGAACTAATCTATTCAAGTCTTGAATATAAAAAAAACACAAGGGAAATTAGAAACACCTGCTAGCAATTAGTTTCTGTTTCTGAAGTTAAAACTCTGTTTATGAATAACTAAAACTGATAATTATCCCCTTGAGAAAACTCTATAAATAAGTGCGAATAGTTAAACAGTCTAAGAGTTTCACTGTCTTTTTTTACTTCTATTTTTGGTTAAAATCCCAGAAGCTATGATATTTGTTTTACAAGAAAACCGTTTAACTTATTGGTCCTCTATTTGTTGCTTATCTAACTTCATATTTCCTATTGTTTAAAAGTGGATTAAACTAATGTTGACATTGAGATGAACGGAGACTTGGGTAGGATAATCTTAATTATTACTGTTATGACCTTGACCCACTTAACTATCAAGTGACAGAAATGCCAATCAGAATATCAACTTATATGACCTTATTTTTGTACCAAACCAACAACACGTCAGCCAGTATTAATAGCCTTGCGTGAACTCTAAATCCTTTTTGATCCTGAAAATAATAACTTTACTCCCAGCCTTGCCCGTTGAATTCAGAACAGAACCTCAGCCCCCACTGTATGAATAATATGTTTCAGAAATACGTAGTTTATATACATGCAGACTAGACTGCATTACAACATAAAACAAAACATAATAGTTATCCAGGATCAAGCTAAAAGTGTCCATGCTTATGGGAAACTGGAACTAATAAACCGGGAATAAATTAAGAATAGTAAATCGTATAATAATAGCCAATAGGTCAATTGAAAGTTTATGAGAAGAGAAATATAAATACATATAACTAGTTACTTGACAGTTATACATTAAGAATATACATAAAATAACAGTTTATAAATAGTTCCCGTAAATTACCCATCATTGAATCTTCTTCGGATACAACAATTACATTATTCGAAATCATAACCTCAACTTATGAAATATGAATACAATAAATTAATTACATCATTTATACAACTTCCTTGAATTGTCTCTTACGAACTCTATGTTTTTTCCAGTCCAGTTGCTACTTTAACTTCTGCTTTGTTTGCTCTTCTCATTTTCATCTTCTGTCAGTAAGAAACTTCCGATTCTTGAAATATACTACTCATATCTGTAAGTATAAGTAGCATACGATACAACAATATCTAACAGATCAGATCACAAACTGGATGAGATGAAAACACTTTCTTGACAAATATACAAAAATACTACTATTGTGTCTTTTTTCAAGAAGAAGGGCATAAGATTTCTAAGAATATTTGCCTTCAGTAGGAAATACAAAAATCAGTTAAAAAAGGAATTCAATTTTCAGACAGCCAAATACTATGAAAAATTTAAATAGAGTAAGAGTAACAAGGTTTTTAGAAATAAAATGAATTCATTCTACTTCACAACTTCTCATCAGCGGTATGCGCCCTTAAATTGAAATTATTATAATAACCATGTACAAATGTTTAACATAATTTTGTACAGGGGATTTGTGGAGATTGTGGAATTTTCGAAATTCAAATCACGAACTGACTACGATTGATAACTTCAATGCTTTAGATGGCCGTTTTCTACTCATATGGGACTCTTTAGCAGGACGAACCCCCAAGGGGGAATTGAATCCAGGACTTTTGGTCTCCCATGAGAAAGTTTAACTTCTACATCATTAAGCCCGCATCCACTTGTGTAAATGTCTAACCTTAACCATTCCATGAAAGTTATTCCTAGAACGAAACGACAATCGATTTCTTCCAGGTTTACAATCTTGGTTGAGTTAAAATCCTTTCGTTGTTTAAGCTTTGAAAATACTTTAGTTTATAATGTTTTAGGTAAGCAATCAAATCACAACCAAAATCATAAGAAGAATAGATCACGGAATGTATGAATCTCAGAGTTGATTTTCAGGACTCAGTAGCCGGGTGCATAACACATTTGAAGCGAATGGTACTGGATTCGAGTTACAGAGTGAAAATCGACTCTGAGATGCAGGTAAATCTAGCTGACGAGTCCCAAATAGGACGAAACGCGCATCCTGGATTCCACTGCTAGCCACTGTCCATCTTTGCTTATAATGCTTGTGAATTAAGGCTTTATCGAGGCAATACACACAGTATGCACACATGCAAATTAGAGACTGACCAGATGCTTTATATAGTTTATTATTATTATCAAATTGTTGATCAATTCTATTATTAATTCTCATATCATAAAGCTTAAATTTTTTTATATTTATGTGAAATCTATTTTATAATAAAATTATTAAAATTAAATCTGTTAAAGAAAGTAATTATCCTTTCACATTAATTGCTATGAGATAAATGTATTTGTAATTCATTAGTGGGAACTTAAATGGTTCACAAGGATTCAGATAAAAGTTTCCGTTAAGGGCTCTCTTCAGTGATATATATATATATATATATATATATATATATATATATATATCACACCCTAGGGGAAGCACGGAATACAATGGAAATCTTAGAACCAATTAGACCATTTGGACTTCGTAGATGATCTAGCCCTCCTATCTCATAAACACGAACAAATACAAATGAAAATAACTAATGTAGCAGTAGCCTCTGCATCAATAGGCCTCAACATACACAAAAGATATGGCAACAACATAGAGGATGCCAAGCCAATCACATCTGATGGAAAAACTCTGGAAGAGGTGGGATTTTTCATGTACATGGGAAGTATCATCGATGAATAACGCGAATCTGATGCAGGCGTAAAGGCGAGGATTTGCTATTTTTTTATTTATTTAAACACATAAATATTGGTACAAGGAAACACCAAATACATATGCGCCATACAAATCTCATTTGATTTGTGTGAGGGCTGTGATACTTTCCAGGTGCCCAAACTGAAGCAGGTGGTTTTCTTAGGGGCCCACACCCCGAGCCTTTGACCGAAATATCTGATCCACAAGGCAGTGGAGCACCGTGAGGAGATGCAGTCCCATGGTAGCCGGTGACCAACGATTGATTCATACGCCATTTGTTCCCTCAGGATACTGGAGCCAGCCCATGTGATTTGGAATCAGGGTTTTCTAACTCCCCTAGTTGAACTTTCCGTGTCCACCAACCCAATTAAAGCACCGGACATTCGCTTTTCGTCCTCTCAATTACATAAACAACACCACTGTTGCGAGAATGCAGTGAGTAGGACTTCCCTGGCAGAGGCTATATATTCGCTGGCCATGTGGGAGCATTTCGAGAGGGAGAGAGCACTCTCCCCACTCTCGACCGTACCGGGCCATTTGGGGGCATTTGATGATTTGCTAAGCAAGGGCAGCATTCGTGCAGTTGATGAGCATATAAAATCAAAACTACTCTCAACGAATATCGAAGTCACAATCTTCAATACGAACGTCAAGACAGTCCTTCTGTACGGAGCTGAAACTTGGAGAGCTAACCATCATCAAAAGGGTACAAGTATTTATAAACAGATGTCTACGCATAATAATCAACAATTACTGACCGGATGCCATCAGCAACAGCCTAGTCTAGGAGAGGACAAACCAACTTCCAGCTCAAGAAGAAATTAAGAAAAGACATTTCTGGTGGATAGCACGCACATTGTGGAAATCATCAAACTACATCATGAGGCAAGCGCTAAATTGGAATACAGAAGGGAAGCGGAAAAGTAAAAGTACAAAGAATACATTTCATCGGGAAATAGAAGCAGTTATAAAAAGAATAAATAACATCTGGAAAGGATTGTCCAGGACAGGGTTGGACGGAGAATGCTGGTGGCGATTTGTGCTCCATCCACGAGGGGTAACAGGCGTAAGTAATATATATATATATATATATATATATATATATATATATATTGTAGTGAACAAGACTTGGTGGAGATACCCAGTTTATTGTTTAAGCCAAATTTACATAGTGCTTTCATAAAATATAATGACCATACATTAAACACATTAATTGCATTTCTTCATTCCGTTGTCTTTTACATACTTTATGATTTTTCAATTCTGTTGTTATTACAATTACTTTCTGTTCTCTTCATTTCAATTTTCTCAACCTTCTACTCTCAGACATTTCACTCCCGTCTGATGTTACATACTACTTATATCGCCAATTATAAGTAACATATACCACTATAAATCTATATTTAAAATTAAGGTATATGCCTTTTTTAATTATTCAACACATTCACCCTAATTGTAAAACAACATTTCATAATACCATTGACCTCATTCTATATCTTAGTTAACTGATTATATCTGTTTATTATACCGAAGTTAATAAGAAAGTATCCGATACGAAATAATATCTAAACCTTTTATACTTTGCTTACCATGCTTGCGATTAAGGCTATATAGAGTCAATATGCACAGTATGCACATATGCCAATTAGAGACTGATCAGTTGCAGTCTTAACATATCGATGGAAAGTTTCAAACAAACAATACTTAATGAACTTATATACTATTCCTTTAATTTATAATTGTATTACATATACTTTTTTCTTTTGTGCATTTCCCTTTATAATTATTGATTAGTTAATAAAGTTTCCCCCAGTTACAAAAATGTTTCATTTAAGTAAATTATTGATATTGTGAAAAATAGTATTTATTTTTCACCTTTCACCCTTTTTAAAGAACAACTATATTTAATACAGACATATTGTGAATAGGTTTAGGTAATCTAATGTCATAGATACAAACACATATTTAATAATGTGTTAAAATCTATATTCATTGTAGATAGACAAACATAACAGAAGTTTTTACATCTATAAAATGGATGGATTATAGCTAGCAATGGAAACACTTGTCTCCTTACTAATTGAAGCTCGTTAGATGGATCTACTTGGATAATAACATGTGAATATTCGAATTGAGATTTGAACTCAGTACATATGGCTTCTAACACTAATGTAAATCATAGTCCTAATTCATCACACTGGTTAATAACCCTCATTTAGACCTACTTAGTAGGTGGACATTCTGAAGGTCACTTTAGCCTCATTCAAAGGTCGTTCATGAATTATAGTCACACCAAATATTTTTTACAGACATTCTCACTTGTATTCAGTTAATAAAGTTACCTATAAGTTTATCTGCCCAAACATTTGAGTAAGTCGCCTTTACTACAGTCATCATGTAACAAAAAGACTCTCAGATTTATTAAACGACCTAAAAAGAAACTGATACTTTAACTACCTCCACTAATTCTGATTATATAGATCATTTTACCTACTTTTTTGTCAGGAAGTGTAATTTCTAAGAAATTAACTATACCAATATGATTCATAGTTGTTTCAACAATGAGATCAACACCATTCTATGATGTTAACCAAAAGATGAAGGTATCAGACAATTAGTTTCGGTTGTGTACTTTATTCACAAAGTTTATCAACTGCAGCCGATTAGGAATAAAAAAAAATCATGGACTAGTTTAACATATATAACTTAGTAAAGATACCCAATATTTTATACGAACAGTAATGTTATCATCTAGTACTTAAGACAAGTTGTTAACAGTATCTAATCATGTCTTCAAATATTAAAATATTCATAGTAGAAGAACTTGGAAAAATTAGCTTACCACTGTTTTGCAAAAGTGAATCCATTCGTTATGAAACCGTCAATGAAGCTTGAAGAATCACTAACCAGTAAGTGTATATTCACTAGAGAAGTATCGAATTACCAGTCAGAATACCAGCCAAGTTATCCGATTTTACTGAGTCTACTTTCAATTTGAAGTTTTAATGAAGAGCCGTCGCAAGTGGATTTTATACATATCATGTATGAGCCATTTAACCCCCAATGACACTAGAAAGTATTCACACAATATTAAAAATTGATTAAAGATAGAAATGTAAACTAATGAGTGTAACCCAAATGGTTTATATGAAGTGAAGGTCTTGGACTTTATCCTTAGTAGGTTCATATATATGAACACGGAAACGGAGTTTTATATTAGAACAAAATAATTGTTTAAATCTTTCTGGCTCTTAATGGTTGTTTAAATACGACCAGTTAGTATTAATAACTATGAAAATCAATTGAGTTATTTAACTTTACTGATTCTATTGATTTAACAAATTTATAATACCACTGACAAACTTTAACAGAATGTAATTGTACAATAAATTACTATTACAGTATTTTTTTTAGCTAATATTAACTTCTACAATAGTAAACAGAAATAACAAATAAGCAAAGATGGATAGTGACTAGCAAACAATACCAAGTGAATTTAAACTTCAATCCATTGCAAAACCAAGTGGCTATCAGGACTTAGTAGTCAAGTGGATAACCCGATGGCGTTTAAAGCGAATGGTACTGGGTTTGAGTCCCAGAGTGGATATCAACTCAGAGATGCATGTACATCCAGCTGACGAGTCCCAAAATAATACAAAACGCGTATCCTGGATTCCACTGCTAGCGACTGTCCATCTTTACTTATAAAGCTTGTGACTTCAGGCAATATGAAGGCAGCAATCAGCACAATATACACATATACCAATAAGAAACTGATCAATTGCAATCCTAAACATTCAAACGAACAATACCAAGCGAATTTAGAAATAACTAATGTTTGGTGCAAATTTTATCTGAAAATTGTTAGAGATGTTTGAAATTCTAATTATCTTCTTCTACCAAGACAATCAACTAATCAATCAATTATGTTTGTTTCTTTAATTCTTTAGTTTTTCTTTTTTCTTCCAATCTTGTTTCTTTTCATTATTTTGAATAAAACGTGAATGTTTAGTATAGTCAGTATATTTTTTTCGTTTATTTTATAAAAAAAAGCAAACAAGTAAGGGGTCTATCGGTTAAGTGCTCTGGCGCGACACTGTTAGGTCCTATAATTGAATCTCATGAGGCGTGATCGTGGATGCGCACTGCCGCTGAGGAGTCCCACAATCGGACGAAACGACCATCCAGTGCTTCCAGGTCTAGCTTCAATTGACTCATGATTTCAACTATGCAAATACTGAAATCCCCAAAAAACCTTTTGTCAAAATAAGAAAACATTTACGTTCTGGTTCTTGTTTATTTGTTTGTATAGATACATTGTTCCTCATTATCATCATTATTCTTATCCTGGTCATTACTATTAAACTCTGTTGCTATTTTGAACATTGTAATGTTAATTTACTTGATAAGAAACACATTTAATAATATTAATATTCTGTTTATTTGTTTATTTGTTTGTTAACTAATGTTTTACAAATCTGTTTTATATAATTAATACATTGGTAAGTAATTAAATAGATAGATCATTGGATATTACACTAGTAAACATTGTTCAATGATACACATTCATAGGGGTACATACACATGTAAATTTGTAAATGTCCAACTCCATGTTGAAATAATAATACTAATAATCATAAAAAGAGCAAAGAAAACAACAGAATGGTAGTAACTTCGTTAATGTAAATATCCAAGAAAAAAACAAACAAACAGATAAAGGATACTTCATATATTTATACATACATTCTTATTCAATAAAAAAAAAATGGAACAGAAGGGAAGATATGCATATTCCAAAGGATAAACGTATGAACAAGCAAAAAAAGAAAAAAAAAATACAAGACTTGTTTTCATCTTTAATTATTAGTACTTTACTATTTTCATTCCCTTGTTGTTGTTGTTGTTGTTGTTGTTTTTAATGATGATTACAAATTCATCAAATTACAATACCAAATATATCACAACGATAATAATAATAATATGAGTAGTCAGTTAGAGTATAACAAAAAAAAAATTCAAGTCTATGCTTTTGTTATCTTTTAACTTAAATTCAATTTGTAGTTAATGTACACATACACACATTGATAGACAGACAGACATTGACAATTTGTAGTTAATCAACTTATTCTCTAAAACTAATCAGATCAAGTGAGGATACAAGAGAGAGAGAGAGAGAGAGAGAGAGAAAGGGGGGAGGTTGCATGATTGAATGCGATGGGTAAAAAGGGGAAAAATTGTAATAAAAAAAACAAACAAAGAAATCCAATAATAAATAATAAATTAATCAAGATTTATCTTTACCTATTCGTTACAGTCTTATTATATAAATTTTATTTTTTCTCAATTTGATTCAGTTGATTTAATCCAATTGATAAAGTAATAATAGTAAAGGGAAATTCAAAATAGATAAGAGACCACTGAACTATAGAGAGAGAGAGAGAGAGGAAAAAAAACAAACTACCTAACAAATAAACAAGTACTCTGATTAAATGTACTTATGTAAATGAGTTATGCATGATTAGTTGACTTATGGTTAAATAAAAAGAAGAAAATGAAAGTTAACTACAATATAGTACATACATCAATGAGTATATGTGAATAGGGGGGGGGGAGACAGACAAGGCAAGACAAGACAAGACAAATACTGTTTATTACATTTGTAACTATTAAAATATTATATAAGTACACATATATTTTACAGATTTGTAGTGTTTTGTTGTATCTTAGTTAGTTAGTTAGTTAGTGGATAAACATTTTAACTGACAAGTAATATATCATTCCTATCTATTATTATTACCGTTTTATAGTTTGACAGGGGAAAAAACATCTACAAGAGTAGATGATTCTTTTCATTTTTTCCTCTTTTAAATACCATTTTCCACTAGTCAACTATCAAAGTAAGTAGTAAATAATTTCAAATAAAACATATATAGTTTTTTGGTTTTTGATTACGTCATTATTGGATGATTTGATTTATTACTATGAAAAATGTTAGATTAATGAATTTTCACTGATCAAATGTTATTTTCTTTCGTACTATTGCATTCATAAGTGCGTTATTTTTTTTTTACCTGATTTCGTTTTTTTATAGGTCATGATAAATGATTTTTAAAATACCATTGAAATCAATAACCAATCTTAGTTGGATAACCATTAAGTACCAAAAAGCACTGGAAAACTGTTTCATCTTAGTATACGACTCTTCAACAGTGAACACGCATCATCATCATCATCATCATCATCATCATCATCATCATCATCATCATCATCATCATCATCATCATCATCATCATCATCATCATCATCATCATCATCATCATCATCATCATCATCATCATCATCATCATCATCATCATCATCATCATCATCATCATCATCATCATCATCATCATCATCATCATCATCATCATCATCATCATCATCATCATCATCATCATCATCCAGAGCTTCTGAGTTTTCAGTTATTGTTTGATTTGGTCCGTTTGTGATTTCAGTGGAATTCATCCATTGTGCATAATCTTATCTTGATGATTTTAAAATTGTTGATAACTCATTTTACACTGTAGCTAAAATTCATCGAAACAACTTGTATTTTAAATTCACTTATTATTGTTTGTTTGAATCTTCCCATCGATGTTTAGGACTGCAACTGTGCATATGTGCATACTGTGCCTTGATATAGCCTTAATTCACAAGCATTGTAAGCAGAGATGGAGAATGGCTAGAAATGTATTTTACTAACTGTTATCAATTTCGTCCTATTATTTCATAAATACTATCAGGCTTTAATCACAAATGGACTTTAAAACTTATATGTATGTTTTCAAAACACATAGAAACCATTTAAAAGGAAAAAAATATGTAGATAAGTGAAAAGATTGTCAATAGAAACTCATTTCCTGTCGGATTTTTGTTATGGTAATTACAATACCGGTCTCTTTCTTATTCGACGTAACACAGTCAAATGTCTAGAGCAGTCGAAATATGTGTTACACCGCTTATTGAAACACGTATGTTACTTTTTTATGTTTAGCAAGTCGTGTGACTGCTAGTGTTAGATTTTACCAATAAACATTTGTAGTAAATGTGTTTGGGACATACAAGCATTAAATATAATCTTTTTATCATTGGATATAACAAAATTACTGTAGATATGTGGTTGGATGGTTGGTTGGTTGGATTTAAGTCTTAAACTATCTACTGGTTAACAATGTTGCTAAAGCTTTTTACATCATTTTCTAACCATGTTATCAGTTACGTCCTAAAATCATTCCTTATTTTAGTCGTATACTTTCTGCGTAACTATTGAGTTACTGCCTCATATTTTCTTTCATAAGACTGAGTTTATTTCCTCTCACTGAATTGTGATGAAAAGTGAATGGATTTAAATTTTCATTTTTGTACTAGTCTACTACTATGTTATCCTGACACTAGGATTCATTAATCTTGAACAGATATTGGTTAAACGTCCCTTAAATTTAGAAGACAAACACACCGTTATTTATGTCTAGCACTTCTACAGGAAATTTATCTACAAACTTTAGATAAAAAAGTTGTTCATTATTTACAATACAAGTAAACAAACATTTTGATTCTCCGAAATTGAAAGTAGAAGAGAAGAAACGCTTTACTTAAATGTCGGACTATTTGGCATCTGTCATCAAGGTTTACCTGAAATCTTGAGGAAACCAACAATTCCTGACACATTTGAACCTGGATTACACAGTTACTCAGTCGGAAACGCAGCAAATACCTAATGTTTCCTAATGACTATCATTTACTAAGTGATATCAAAACATTATGTACTCACTGTTAAATCAATTATATCAATATGCACACTAAAAATTGATCAATAGGATTCGACCAACTCCAAGAATTAGAAATATATAACATTATTCATTGCCCAATTTTTATATTGAAGTGTAATTCTGCAGTGCAGAACTTCTAATCAGTATACAAGCATGACCTCAAAGGTGACCAGAAACAAGAACTTTAGGTTTCTTAGAAACAATTTAAGTTTTAGAACACAATCAGCATTTTTATCTTCTATCAATTCACCACATCGGAAAACCATCTTCTAGTTTTATTTGTAGTTAACTAGTTTAATATGATATTGATGCAGTCTACAAATCATGGTTTTCTAACTAGAACTCCGAGGATTATCTCTCGAAACTATTCACAAGTGAGGATACGATTATTTTCCTCATAGGGATTCAGTGGACAGAATCGATGTTTAATACTCCTTAATTTTCAATAGTTATCTAATTAAGATCAGTCAGTGATATCAGCTATGAAATTCAATAATCTGCACGATCACTTATAATGATCAAAATCGTTTTAAACCTCGGAAGAAAATATATTCCTTGGACTTAGGTTACAATTTAATATATCAATATATATTTGTACAGTTATTGGTTTATAATCAACTATAAATAATCCTTTTTTTTCTGGTTAGGGTAGTTTTAACGAGTTAGTTTTCTATGGGATAGGATCGCTTACCCCATGCCCAACCCTTCTTTACCCGGGCTTGGGACCGGCAGTAGCCCCCGGAGGAGCTACAGGCAGAGAGACATGAGAAGGATGAACAAAAATTGGATAGAACTAAAAAGGAAGGCCCAGGACAGAGTGGTTTGGAGGATGCTGATCGGCCGCTTATGCTTCATTGGGAGTAACAGGCGTAAGTAAGCAAGTAAGTATAAATAATCCTCACTGGTGTTCATTCTGTAACTACAATTCTTTCGCAAATACAGTAGATATATCAATATGCTTGAGAACGCAGTTTTAGTCTTAGTTTTACACTTATAATATTAATATTAAAGTAAATAAATCAAGAATATAATATATTTACGTCAGTACATTTACGTATATCGTTTTAGATATATATTTCATGTATGAACATTTATTTGTAAATCAGCATACACATACATACACACAAACATATTTTGATAATACAAAAGAATGTCTTTGATAAATTGATCTTTACTTACTTACATACGCCTGTTACCCCACATGGGGAAGCATAAACAGTCCACCAGTACTCTCCATCCAACCCTGTCCTGCGTAATCCTCTCCAGTTCTTTCTACTTGTTATTCATCCTTTTTATATCTGCTTTCAATTCCTGGGGTATTATGTTTCTTGGCCTTTCTGATTTTCTCTTTTCCCCTCAGGACTCCAAGTTACAGCTTGCCTCGTGATGCAAATTGATGATTTCCACAATGTATGTCCGGTCTAGTTCCAACGTCTTTTCTTAATTTCCTTTTCAGTTGGAAGTAAGTTTGTTCTTTCCCACAGTAGGCTATCGCTGATCGTATCCGGTCTACTCAAAATTGATCTTTGAATGAAAAAAATATCAACTTGTTTATTTGTTTTTCAATAGGATACTTTTTAAGTATTCAATAAGAATCGTAAAGAAGAAATAGTGTATTAAACTGTTAAAAAATTGAGAAAAGCTCATATTTACAACAAGAAAAAATGTGGTTCACGTGACGCAAGGATTAAGACAAAAAACAATGGTGGATAAAGATTTTATGCATTATCTTACCAAAATGAAATGACAGCCATTCATTAAATAAAACCACTTGATTATATTAACGATTTTACCAGATTTTGATGATCATTATTAGTATAAAGGAGACTTTGAAGATGATAGAATTTTCGTAGTTTGGTGCTCCCTGGTTTACAGGGGTTGTCTTGTTAGAGATCTGTTCGTTATTTAAACCAAGAAAACCCGAATATCCCCATAAACTTCTCTATACTAGCAATAATCGTGTGCACTCAAGTTACTGGCTTCAAGATTTTATTCTTGTAGTTCCTGATACAATTTGTGACCAATCGAGTTCAATTACGTTGGATTTGAGATAGTTATCCACCCCCAAACAATGGAAGGTGGTTGAGTACTAATATGGTTTGATGATTTGTCGAAGAATATCATACAATATCTGAGTATGGTGAAAATATAAAATCAATTTTACACTGAATTAGTACAAACGAGTGTTCAAAGTTAACCTGAAGGTATACTATACTAAATAATTACAAATGAATATTTTAATTAATAAATATTACATTTAATTAAAAGATGAATTCATAAGTCGATCTAAGCTAGAACACCTTTGAGAACCCGGAAGAACTGTATGACTTTTTCGTATTAGTATGAGACCGAAGGTCCTGCGTTCGAGTTCAGCGTGCAGGATCATCGATGCACTGTGAGAGAGTCTCTTACTAGGACGTCATCGCATAAAATTAAGATTAGATTTTCGGATTAAGAGAGGAAAGGAACAGTGACTGACAATTTTTACACTCAACAACACATTTATTATAGTTTCACCAATGAATATAATTATAATATCAGTTAGTTAGTCAATTATCTGTGGACTAAACTTGAATACTTATTGGTTTAAGTTGGAACATAATATATATCGGTACAGTAAGAGATAAATTTAACTAGATGTGAAGCAGAGTAAGGACAGAATGAAACTACTCGTTGCACTAGAAAGCTGGACATTGAAAAGTACAAAAATGAATTGTGAAGATAATGAAATCAGCAAAAATCCTGAATTGACATGAATTTCAAGATTTAGAAGTAAAAAGAGAATGGCTAGAACTCTGTCAGTTTAGAAAAATGTCACTTAAAGTCTTTAACCGTCGGTTACGATTATTGAGCGTATCCCAACTAAGAAGCGTACATTGACCTAAATGGCTCAGATTGATACCTGATGATTTCATAGACGGATGTTGTGTCTTTTTTGGTCAACCTTATTTCACCTGAATTTAGGCCTACGTATTACATATGAAAAAGTTTGAACTCCCACATTTTTGATACTACGAAATCTTATTGAACAGTATTTATTGTTATTGTGCACTATGAGCTGACTGGCTTGATTTTCCCCTTGGTGCTATACTTCATTAAACATATCATTTTATTTTCCTAAGGGGGATTTTGTGGAGATTTTAGTAATTTTATGGTTGAAATCATGAGTCAATTCAAGCTAGACAACCATGGAAAACCTGGAAGCACTGGACGGCCCTTCGAATCTCGCAAGGTGGGATCGTGGATGCTCATTTTCATACTAATTGCGCTTCGTTCTTGTTCTTTCCTTATCGATCTTCTGCCAAAATACATTTAATACCTGACCTTCACCACATACTACTTATGTGGATATAAGTAACCCACACCACGATATCGCATTACGTTAAAGAATTTTATAAGAATACACAGTATTTTATATGATTACGAAAAAGACATTAGTTACATTAAAATAATTTACAATCATCTACAATTTAACTGATCATATTTCTTTCAAGAGTAAACACCAACTTCAATCAAATTACTACATAGATTCATGAATAAATATTATCACACATCAAGATTAATACTGAGTTTTATATATAGTTGAAATAATGAGTCAATTGAAGCTAGACCACCATGGTAAACCTGGAAGCAGCCGTTTCGTCTTATTGTAGGACTGCTTAGCAATGCGCATCCACGATACCGTCTCGCAAAATT